GGAGACCCTGGGCTGGTGGGGGCTTGGTGGTGGTGGCAGCGGTGGCGTGCGGATGGGGATTGATCCTTGGGCTAATCCCGGAAGCCACCCTCTGCTAATCCCTGCCCCCACCCTGTACACACCCCTGAGCACCCCTGGCACGCCCAACGGCACCGCCTGCCCTCCAACCCGCCCCTCCCTCCCGCCCACCCACTGCCCCCCCCTGCGTGCAGGCGCCCTGAGCATCATGTACCTGCCCCCCTCCATCCCCGTGCGCGCCATGCTGGTGGCGCACAACGCAGACTACAACGGAACGTGGCTCCTGGGCACGCCGGTGAGTTTTTTGTTGTTTTTTAGTGACAGGTGGAGGACAGGGCCTGCACGCCCGGGCGGCTGCCCTCGGCCACCTGGGCTGGGTCTTGCCCTCTCTCCTGAGTCACACCACCACACGCCACACACTCTCCCTGCCGCCTCCTGCCCCGCCGTGCCGCTTGCCCCTGGCACCCACCTCCACTCCAACCCCACACGCAACGCCTGCAGGAGCGCGAGGCCTGGGTCTACTCCCAGCTCAACATCCCCCTCAACGCCCACACCCGCAGCCTGGCCGAGCATGACGGCCGCTTCAACATGCTGCGCCCGCTGCTGGAGCACATGCGCACCTCGCAGCAAGGGCTGGGCGTGGTGGCGGTCAGCCCGCGCTACGCGGTCAGGCGCGTGCTGCTGCCTGCGCTTCGCCAAGCATGATGGCGCCGGCTGGAAGAGGGAGCGCTGAGCGCTGCCAGGGAGACGCTGCCCTCTCACACACCACACGCCACAGCCATCCCATCGTCTCAACCGCCTCCCAGGCCCGGCCACCCACTGTGCCCCGCCCCCCTGCCCCACTTCCCTTTGCCCCGCTGCAGGGCCCGCGACAAGTTCAGCATGTTCTGGTCGCTGCCGCGCGCCGCGGTGTGCGGCATCCTGAACGGCATGAAGGAGTCGCAGCGGCCCGCCGCCGCCGACGGCGCCGCCGCCGACCCGGATGCCTTTTTCGCCAGAAGCGCGCTGCCAAGCTGGCCTTCCAGCAGGCCAAGGGGCTGGCGGTGGGCGAGGAGAACAGGCTACTGGTGTTCATGGGGCGCATCACCCACCAGAAGGGCTGCGGTGAGGGCGGGCAGCCCTGCACATCAGCCAACGCACTTGGCTGTTGCGTTGCCCATAGGGCCACACAGGCAGGCCGCGCTCCACACCGCCTCCCTCATTCAGCCTTTCCCTCTCTCTAGCTTTACACACCACCCACCCCTTTGCCACCCCTGGCCCCCCCTGCCCTGCAGACATCATCGCTATGGCTGCGCACAGCATTCTCAAGGGCAGCCACGTGGCCCAGATTGCCATGGTAGGCCCCATTGGCGACGAGTATGGCGAGCAGGCCAAGCACATGCTGGAGAAGGGTGGGGCGCCTGCGCCTGCCCCCGCTGGTGCCTCTGCTGAGCCCGAGTGCCCCTGCTGCTCCGCCCGGCCCTGCCTCTGCCATGCCTGCTCCCTTATGGCCTGCTCCCTGTGGCTCTGCTGTCGGCTGCAGCCACCTGCCCTCCACCTCCCTACACGGCTGCCTGCTGCTGGCACGTTGCTGCTAGAGTATTGCCTTCCAAAGCACCTCCCTTGTCGCCCTGCAGTGTCCCAAGCGTTCCCGGGCCGCGTGTGGAATGGGGCCGGCCTGTACGCGATGGGCGCCGAGAAGGAGCAGCTGTGCATGGCGGCAGGTGGGCGGCTGCTCTGCCCCACTGCCCTTCTCCTGCCGGCTTTGAGCACGTGGCTAGCATGCTGCCAGCAGCTTTGGTTGAGGCACCTCCGCCTGTCTGTTGTTCACCACATCGCCGTCACAGCCCTCACGGCATTCTCTTCTGCCCCTCGTCTTTCCGCAGACTTCTTCCTGTGCCCCTCCCGCTTTGAGCCCTGCGGCCTGGCCGACATTGAGTTTGGGTGGCTGGGGGCAGTGATGATTGGGCACAACACGGGTGCGTGGGGCGGGCCCGAGGCGGCGGCTGCTCTGGGCGCGCGCCATGCATGCGACGCAACATGATTGCTTGCTTGGGCTCCAGCCGAGCGTCCGGGCTCTGCCCCCAACCACTGCTGTGCTTTTTGCCGAGCAGGAGGGCTTGGGAAGATGCCTGGTGTGTACTACACCGCTGAGCTGGACTGCACAGAGGACCAGAGCATCAGGTGCGCAGCGGCGTGGCGGCGGCAGAGGATGTGCGCAGGGCCCGCGGCAGCCCCACCGCCGCGCAGCGTGGGGACGCCGGCTGCTGGCTTGCTGGCTAGCTGCTGCGTGCCCCTCCCTGGCATGCACGCCTCTCACCAGCGCCGCCCCACCCGCTGCCCGCCTGCAGGCTGGCGCTGACGGCACTCAAGGCGCTGGCTTTGCCCGAGGAGGAGCTCAGGTGGGGAGGGTGCGCTGCCAGTGGGAAGAAAGAACCCTGGCGCTGCCTGCGGCACGGCGGGCCCACCTGCCCCGCCAGTGCAGGGTGCCCTGCCACGCCACCACGCTCCCCCATGCCCACCAAAGTCCCCCATGCCCACCACAGTTTACCTCTCTCTCTCCCCCATGCTCTCCACGGTTACATTTTCCCCCGCCCCCCACTTGCCCCTCCCTGCCCTCTGCCCGCAGGCGCCTGGGCACCGAGGCCATCAAGGCCGACTTCCCGCCCTCCCGCATGATCCGGGCCTACGACAAGCGGTGGCGCCGCCTGCACGCCTGCGCCCTCACCGCCGCCACGGGGGAGGCCGGCATGGCGCCCGGGGAGGGGGAGTTCTACGCTGAGCAGGTGGGGGGGTGGGGGGGGGGTGGGGGAGGTG